TGGACATCTGACATGTATGCATAGACCCATTGAATCTTTGACATTGGAAACAAAATATCCGTAAAAATTAATTTAAAGCACAAGATCTTTAGCTTGTTTCTGTCTGAGGTTTAATTGAATGAACAATTTAGAGAGAATCTTTCATGATAAATCATATAAGGCCAACAGTTTATCTTGATCCTTCAAGATTACAGAAAGAGTCTCTTCATTGAATTCCAATACTTGTAAATCTTTCTTAAACTCATTTCTATTAGTATGAAATGCTGGACATAAGAAGAGAAGGTGCTCTGGTGATGCACAAACTAAAGTATTTATGCTGCAGGAGTTACAATGAACAAGAACTAGAAAAAAATAAAGGCGGTATATATCCAGATAAATTATTTTTCTCATGATTAACTTTTTCCAATGATGAAATATTTCTGGTTCGTTCACAGGAAGTACATGTTGGAGGTGACAGAGGGTTGGCACGATTTCGGGGGTCTGAAATGGGAACTGGTGCTGTGCTTGCTCCTGGCCTGGATCATTGTGGCAGCTTCCCTGATCAAAGGGGTTCAAAGCTCGGGTAAAGTGGTCTACTTCACAGCGCTGTTCCCTTATCTCGTCCTCGTCATTCTTTGCATCCAAGGTTTGTTTGACACTGTTCATGGCTAGATATATGATGATAATTTCGAGAACTTGTAAAGCAATTTTCATAGAACGTCTTCCGAGCCTTCCAACCCAGCAAATGGAACTTGAGAAGTCAGCAGCTCGTAAAAAGTTTTCAATTTCTGTAAATTTTCAGGAGTGTCTAATGCTATGAAAAAAAAAATCACCATCGAATATTTTCCAATGATCTTTCTCTGTTGCGTTGAATATAACGAAAAATGTATTTATTTTTTTAATAATAATCCGTGTTTGTCTTTCTTTCCACATATTGTGGAACAGGATTGAAAGTTGTTTTGCAAGAAAGAGTTCATTCATGACTCGGGGTGAAACTGTGAATTTCTTGAGGGCATTCACTGGAACCCCGAAAATGTCAAGTCACGACAGCTAGACGAAAGTTGTCACCTTACCGTGTCCCAACTTTCCGCGTTCTTTTCCGGATTGAAAAAGTGTCATATGAGCAAAGAAAACTTCCTCAATTAGGAGCGAGCTTTACTTCCTTGCCAGGAATTGCAATGCAGAGTATACTTTGGTATTTCCTTCAAACGATAATTTAAAAAAAGTCACGTAAATTCTTATTTTTTTCGTCTGTTGCATTTACTTCAGGGGCAACTTTGCCAGGCGCTTCGGAGGGCATAAAATTCTACCTCACGCCGAAATGGGAACTTCTGGCGGCGCCGAAAGTTTGGGCAGAAGCGGCAACGCAAATTTTCTATTCTCTCGGCCCTGCTTTCGGAGGACTTATCACTCTTTCTTCGTACAACAAGTTCAAAAACAACTGTGTCAGGTAAACATGTTGCCCATTGAGTCCTCCATGCGAAGCAAACACTGAGATCAACATGTTTTGATGCGCATTCAGAAAATGGAATCGCTTATTCATGCGTACGTTCCAAGTGATAGAGCAATAACTTCTCGAGTATGGATGTGGACTGTACTTTTTGTTTGCTGGTGCTAAAGTCAAAAGAAAAGTCGTATTTTAATGCATATACAGTAATGTATTGGTACATATTCCAAAAATTACTGAGCTTGAAGCTCGGGTCTATTTATAAAACGTTCCTCATTAATAGCCTGAGACTGCCGAGTCTTCTCATTGAAAAGCTGCAAAAACCCCCCGGGGTCAATAACCTGGATTCTATTGTATTTGGATGAAATTTCGCTTATTATTTTTCTTAGAAATTGAACAAAGAAACATGCCTTATGATTAAATACAGAATAAAAAGTTCGATAAATTCTGCAAAATCGTATTGAGATTCCTCGTATTTTACAGGGATGCCATCGTCATCGCATTTTCCAACTGCTTGACTTCTGTGTTCGCCGGCTTCGCTATCTTCTCCATTGTTGGGTACATGGCTCATGAACTGGGTGTTCCGACAAGTCAGGTTACATTTTCATCGAATTAATTTCAAACCTTTTGCAACGGGTGAACAAAAATCTGGTTCATATAAACACGAAGATTTTTGTGCTGATGTTTTCCTCTACATTTTCTTTGATTTGACGCGTTAATTTGGGAAGTAATGTTTTCAAATTATGATAAATCAGGGACTTTTCGTCAAAGTAAAGTTGAATCGATTTTTCGACAATCATGTTTACGCACGTGGACTCTCTGCACAACGAGATTCAAAAAGACTAGAAAAGATTCGTTACAGGGTGAATTAAGTTGCAGAGAACCCCTATAAGATGAGAAGAGAATTTTAAAACAAATTCTTCATACCTAGAAAATCGTTGTAGAAAGAGTCCACCCTCAATCTGCATATATAGGTTTTGACCATTGGAATCAAGTTTCCTTGGATTTTCTTATAAGATTAGATTTTTGATATAAAATGATCAATTTTTCGAGAGGGGAATTGAATGGACTTTAATTCAACTCCCTCGTCAAGACCTTAACCGCCGTTTCAGTGATATTTTTTTTCGGCTGTTGGTTCATTTTTTCGTCAACCAAAAAAATGAATGAATGAATGAATGAAAAAATGAATGAATATTCAAACGGTGGTTGTTTTGTCACACACAAAAAAAAAACTTACCTGATAGAAAAGCCTTTTGCAGTTTCTGAAGTCAATGTCCTCTTTTTCGTTCGACAGGTCATAAAATCTGGACCTGGTTTGGCTTTCATAGCTTACCCGGATGCGATCGCTCAGATGCCCTTGTCACCCGTTTGGGCCGTCCTCTTCTTCGTGATGTTGATCACCCTGGGGCTAGACTCCCAATTCACAATGGTAGAGACACTCATCACTGCCTTGCTGGATGAAATGCCACATTTGCGCAGCCGAAAGTCTTCGGTGGTCATTGGCATTTGCGCTGTCATGTTCGTGCTGGGTTTGTCCATGTGCGCTCGTGGCGGCATTTACATGTTCACACTCATCGACAGCTACTCGGCTGGGTGGTCCCTGCTGATTTTGGCATTGCTTGAAATTGTAGCTGTGCATTATGTGTATGGTGAGTTTAGACAACGACAAAATTTTGACCAGCTAGTTTTCTAAAATCGTCCATATAGCAGGGAGTCCGTATCGCAAGTTTTCGCAGCTGAATAGCATTTCTCCTCTAGAGCTTCGACTTTTCTTTCGGGAACGAACTCAAAACTTTGCTAACATTTGGTTTATTCCTGTAATTTCTTGAATAACTTGAGAAAATTCCATGAAAGCTGAATATTTGTTTCATAAAATTGTTTCTTGAGGAAGAAACTTCGAGCGGAAAGCTAAAGTCTTTCACCAGCACACGCATGGATTTATCTTTCGTTTTCTTTTCGACATGCCTTTTATAAATACTGTATTGTTGAAAAGTTTTGAAAAGTGATTCTCGACGAACCCTTAAATATTTCTTTAAACTCAGGATAGCGTTTGCTCGGCGGATAAACACTTATAAATTGTTGAAGGCACGCGTAATTAGGACACTTTACGTACAAATGAAGCCCTCAGCCTTAAAAAAAAGAGCGACAATGCGAAAGTTCGGGAAAACATTATATTTTTTATAACAGCGTGTTATAATGACCCCATATTGCATTAAAAATCGCGAATTGCGCCATAATTGTATCGAGCAGCATTGAAATTTCTTTATTGGAGCAATTCTTTCAAACCTTTCAACGAAATTCCTGCTGTGGTGCATCTCAAATAGCTCAGAAATTCTAAAAGATACCACAGATTGAGACGCGGTCAGATTTTCTTCCGATTTAATCTGTAATTAAGAGAATCAGAAACGATCCGAAGGTTTGAATTCCAGTAATAACACCAATGTGTCATTTTTCAGAAAATTCAGGTTGACTGTTTGTATATTTAAAATCGCACAAAACAAATGCGCTGAAAGGTATTAAAGAATTACCCGTCTTACTTGAAAGCTTGAATGTTCGATTCATCACATATGTGACAGTACTCTTCATTGGCATCAGTTGCATAATCGCTGAAAATTCTTGAGAGTTAAATTTTTTTTATTAAAATACTGCAATTGAAAGCATCGAAGCTTCGACGATGTTCAAAATTTTTTGTTTTAAACCGTTTTTTAATTTTACGTTACTGGTTTTGCAAATGACGATATCAATCTTCGATTTTTTGGCCAAGTCCTAAAACTGGTACAGTATATCCACAGCAATATTCAATTGAAATAATTTCATCACGATTCTACGTTGGGAAGAATTTCATGAAAAGTGTTTATGCGAATCGATCATACATTATACAATACATTATAGTATAGGAATTTGAATTTATATCTACTCCTTGAATCGTGAATCCGAAATGGTCAAGATATATAGCGACACGCATGCATGCGGCGAAGGTAAGTGAATAAACCATCGATTTTCTGGGCTCTGACTCATGCCCAGTGTGAATTTCCTACTACAGTATATTCCGCATAACTGCCTACCTATATTTCGGGAAATCCCAAGGGCAAAAGAAAAGGAAGAAATAATGCAAAGAAAGAACGATCAAGCAAAGAAAGCAGCAGCTACAGTCGAAGTGCGCGAGTATATATATACTCACTTGTACGTGCTGGTTGAAAGTGCGAGATTATTCCACGGAAGCGGCTTTAATTTCCCATGCCTTACGTTCGGTATGTATATATGTACTTTCACAGGCAGCACGCGGTTCATGGCGAACATCAAAGAAATGGTCGGGGAATGGATGTACCCTTCGCGGTACTACTGGCTCATCAACTGGTGTTTCCTGGCGCCTGGCCTCATCACAGTGAGTGAAAATCGATGCCATCCTTTTTCTCCCTGGTGGTTGGAAGGGGAAAGAAAATGCGCGAAGTAGTTCCCGACCTGAGCCCATCGCTTCCGGAGATGACGTCGCTTCGTCACGACGAAAGCGATTTCCCGGTGGTTTATGACTGCCTTTTACTCTTTCTTTTTTTTTGTGAAGATTTTATTTCTATTTTTCCAAGATATAATATGCACACAGAGCCCCCGTTCCCCCGCGGAAGCCGTCCTGCGGCCCCACATGCGAGGTTGTCGAATATTATTCTTTTTTTTTCTGCGTCGATTCTAAGTAAGAATGCCAGAACTTCTGCACACTTGATACAATAATAATACAGTTGAACCTAAGTAACTCGAAGTTTTCTAATTTGGATTCATTTCAAGTCCCCATCTGAATTCCCTTGGAAACAATGAATGAATGAATGAACAGAAAGCTTTATTTTCTGCTTTCCAGTGTTCACAAGGTTCAATCAACATTCCCACATCCAAGCCCCCTCCCCACCCAACCCAAATCCATCATTCTGAGGCATTCATTCACTTCAGAATGGGAAACAGAGAATTTAGATGCATATGGATAAAAAATAAAAGAAAATTCATTCCACAAAATGCAATAGCACAACTGATATGTATGCAAACACCCCTCCTTTCCCTGACATAGAAAACAAAATATCAGTAACAAGAATTGCAGCAACAAGTAGTGCCTTGGAAACAATGCGCTAAAAAACGTGTCCAACTTGAAGGCTTTCCCTCTCAAACCTCTGTAACTCAAATTTTCTGAGGCCTTTTGGCTCGTGTTTTCTTTACACCGGAAATATACGAGCAATAAAAAATAACTTTCTGTGCTTCGAGAGGAACTAAAAGACTAATATGGGAAAATGTAACGCCCAGAATATTACAATTAACAATATTTCCTGCAATTCTTTTTTCTCCACAACAAGAATGCTTGTTTCACTACCCTGAAACCTCCGTAACTCAAATTTTTGTCTGGTCCCTTTAAATTCAACTTAGATAGGTTGAAATGTACTCAATTTCTCTGCTGTACTTTCGTTTTTTTTAACATGAGGCAGAACAGTATTATTTCGAGAGTCACGAAACTGGCCAGAACACCCCATCAAACCGATAATACACCTTAATCCATTCAAATTTTTACAAGCACTAACCCATGGTTTTGCAATTGGCTGTGGTACGGAACCCTAACGGCCTAACCGAATGCTCCGCGGAATTTCACATGAAAAAATCAAGGAATTTGAATGTTTAACTTGGATTCCTACGTTGTCAATTTTAGCTGAAAGCAGCTGTCGAAGGGAACCAAATAAAGCATTTGAGGAGTAAATCAAGTCCTTGCTTGCAAATTTAATTAAATTTCGTGCCTAGTATAATCGAACCCGAATTAAACTTTTTAAGAAGTGAAACGATGCAAGTGACATCTAGTTAAAAGAAAGTCAATGTACGAGCTGGAGGAACTGCTGGTGTACAGTCAAAGAACCGCATATTTTCTAGACGTTTCTCTCAATTAAGACGAAATGAAGAGAAGACCAAAGTTTCTTGACATGAAGTCGTCATCGATGTCATCGGACTCAAAATGACTTGAGTTGAAGAACAACGGTGGTTCGCGAGAAATTCATAAAAATAATTATATTCTCGACGCTGCAGAAATGTTATCACGATGGCCGTGATGTTCTTCTTGTTACAGGCTTTATCAAAACAGTTTCTGTCCTTGACTGTTTTTATGCTTTAGAATACCACGTTGAATCACGTGAAGGAGATATTTGCAATGTCTTCGTTGTAGAGCGCTGATGAACAAAAATGCTGAACTCTAGAAACAACTCAATGTTCAGAGTCTAAAGACTGAGTCTAAACTTTAGACTGTTAAAGAAAAACTTCTAACTCAATGCCTTCTATAATGTTCGCAGAGCATCTTGTTTTTCTCCTGGATCATGTATGAACCAGCTTCGTACGGAGGAGAGCCGTTTCCGCTTTGGGTGAATGTCATCGGTTGGGCCATGGCATTTAGTCCCCTGATCATATTTTTAGTTATGGGTGCCAATCAGTACAAGCAGGCCATCAGAAAAAACCTTGTGAGTACATTGGAATGCATTTTTAAAGATGCGACCGGTAGATTAATTTTCTCAAGCATCACGTTTTTCGGCATTTGCTGATCAATTCATAGCATTGGATTTTGCTTTCATGAGCAAATAATCTGGACTGTCTTCTGCGTATAAGTTTATTGTCCAAGAAATTGCTCAATATTTGTTATGTTATGTACTGAGTGAAAAAGACATGTTTATTTTCTGAAGGGTTGGCGAAGTTTATTCCGCCCGTCTGCGAGCTGGGGTCCGGCATATGTCAGGGAAAACTTGCCAAGTCAAAAGGCGAAAACGGACAACGAAATCTCTGCCAATTCTGGCTACGACAATCCAGTATTCAGTGAAAACCCATCAGAATACGTGACTTCAACACATTTATGAGAAACCTATTTTTTAAAGATTAATGTAATTGATAATTAATGGCGTTTAATCCCATTTTTTACAGCTTCGGTGTCGTGCGAATTTTTTTTATACAAGAACTCTGCCTATTTTTGGGAAAAGCGCAGAGACTTTTATTGGGAATACATAAGCGATGAATGAACGTTTGTATACTTGTTTGTGAGTTATTTTCTTATTTATAGTCTTCATGCAGAAATCTTTTAGATGCGTGCGAATTCACGTTGCGGAGTCTTGAGGACCTGCAAAAATTTCAAATCCATTCCGAGAGATCAATCAGTTTTTCTTGCCTCAGGTGAAAAGAAATAAGAACAAACGATTCAAATCGAAGCAGATTTCCCCCCCTTTTTTTTCCTTCTTCTTCTCAACATACGAAATATCACGAGGCTTTGTGCCGATTATTGCGGCCGGGATTTGAGCAGCTTCCGATAAGCAAAAAGTCGAGCTGTTCGCTCGGAAACGCATTCCGAGTACCGGTTGTTGTACACAAACCCTGGCTTGCATTTGCACTGCAGTAAATTGCGCGTCTGTCCCGACGTTGACGCTGACGACGAGGACGCTGTCGGACTCGCTGCCGGGGCTGTCGCTGTTGCGGAAGCGTCGTCGTCGTCGTTGTCAGTCACCAACTGCAGGATTTGATTTCTCGAACACGGACCCACTGTTCCGATTTTGTAGCAGCGCTTGATGGGTCTGCTGACGCTGTTGTCTTCGTCCATCAGTTCGCCGGCACCTGCTTCGCACTCGCAGTGCGTCTGGGCCAGTGTCGAATTGTACTTGTAAACCTGACACCGAGCAATAAAACCCAAGGATGGATGAGCATTGCGAAACGAAACCAGAGAAAAAATACAAAACGACTTCAACCAAACATTAAAAGAATTATCTTATTTTTGACCGCGAAGGAATTCGATTAAGAACTCCGATTTTCCGAATTTTCATACAGTACTGTTTCAGTGCCCATATTTCGATTTCCGAGCAGCTTCGATTTTAAATTAACGAGGATTTTATATCTTTGTAGAGTCATTGATTTTTTTTTCATCGCCGAGATTTTCAGTTCAGTAGTTTATTATTATTTTATTTGATACGTTATTATACGGAAAAATAAGACACATATGGCATTAGAACAATTAATTTGAAAATGTTGATGTTCTCCTCGTACATTTTCTTCTATGCATTTGGGGCATTGAATTTTTGAAGCTTGAATCTGCCGATAATATCGGTAATGCATGGTTGTACAAATGAAAAATTTACCAAAAATCGCCTAAGAAAAATTAAACGCATTCTTTGAATACATTTTATGATCAAAATAAAAATACAGCATACGGAGCTTGAAATCGGTCGTGAAATCACAATAAACTTGCGTGACTGAGTTCTATACGGATCATGTACAGTAATCAGATTCCAATAATTCTCCTGTAAAAATGGAGAAATCGAACTCATGTAACGGTCGTATTTTAAATTCATTTACAACCAAAAAATGGGTTAATTTTTTGCACTTGTTTCAAACCGTCATGGAGTGGCAAATTATTCTTTACAGAACAAATAGCTCCGAAATTATGCATACGGTAGATTATCCCAGCCTGCAGCAGAAAGGAAAATGAATACAATAAATGAATAGTTGCTCGATTTTTCACTGAAATAATGTACCTGCGCGAACTGAAATCTCTATTTATTCAAGGAATTGCTCCGTTGTAAAGAAATCAGCTCCCCGGAAATAATGACAACCCTAAATGTTCGTTCCTTACTTTTCGATATTTTTCACTGAAATAATGTACCTGCGCGAACTGAAATCTCTATTTATTCAAGGAATTGCTCCGTTGTAAAGAAATCAGCTCCCCGGAAATAATGACAACCCTAAATGTTCGTTCCTTACTTTTCGAACTCCTAATACAAACGATGGCTTTTCTCTGTATTTTAAAATTTGTCTTTATACTCTGTAACCAATCATACTTTAATTGTGGGGATTTTCCGCGAAAAATACCCCCTGCGCGAAGTGACACGGAAATCTGAGTAATTTGCGCCAACAAGAATTGGCGCGCATAAACACAAGAGGCGGCAATAAAACCCTCAAAGAGATAGCCCCAAAACCATTAAAGCGAAGACCAGTAAAACGACACCCCGTATCAAGAAAGACAAATAGCCCGCCAGCCGGGCAAGGAGTTCGGAAACCTTTTACGGCCAACATATGGCACAGATTTCCGCCCCTGCTCCGATTTCGCTGTCAACAAAGCACTAAAAACTCTACAAGGCTCTTGAAGCCAACTGAAAATCCTAAAGACTCCCACGAATCCAAATTCTAAAGGAAGAAATTCATTACGCACAAATTTCGTATCCAGAATAGAATATATGACCGTTTGCAGCTGCCTTCCGCCGGAACTGCATATATACGCGATATACGGCTCTCTAAAGAGAAAATGAAGTATATAAGGAGGAAAATTGGGCAAGACTCAACACTAGCGCGCCAAACTTTGACTGAACGCGACGTGTGTATTATCCAATCATTTTTTGCCGTGAAACTGAAGATTCTTGTGAAAAGTGTTTGTAAAAATCTTCCGAAAGGAACCTTGTGTGAAAGAACAAAGCTAGCGCTTATCTTTTCGGCCGGTTGCGCACCGGCCAATTGCTGTTTATACTTATTCAATTCCTCCTCATCATCAAATCGACTCGACTTTGTAGAAACACTTATATTCGAACTCATATACATATTTAAATATCTTCATCTAATCAAAAAATTCCCACATCAATAACTCCTAAAATTACTGCTGCTGCATGTATATACCCGTCCATATATTTGCATCGTATATATATAATGGCGACTGATGTTGGAAACTGCACCTGCGCATCATCTTCGTATAACCCAGCATACTCGAATATTGTATATATATATATGTATGCACGTACGAAGCACAGATGAGACACGACGTACTTGTGTTGTATACGGGAGACTCCAGCTATATGCAGGATAGGACTTATTATCCCGCATTCATTCTGTTTATTCTTATGCTGCAGGCTTTTTTCTTCATCCTCTTTGTTTCTTCCTTCTATTCTGGTCCTTAAATGCAGCTGCTATAATATATGCTATATATAGTCCTGAAGAGAATTTCTGTATGATTGTCACCTCCATCAAGGGTTTATAAAATTGTTTGGTGCTTATACACAAGCCAATGATTTCTCTATGCAGCTCGGGTGTCTTTTTTCCCTCCCCCCCCAATCGGTCATCTCGTCATAGCCATCTCCTGGCCTCCTTTACGAACGTGTGACGACATTTTGGACAGATAGTCCCCCGGAGCAGCCTGCCCCAGCATCTCTTTGAATTTTTAATGTTGGAAAGAAACAAGTTTATTAAAACACGGCAATAATATAGTGATGATAATGAAAAATAATAATAAATAATAATAATAACGATGATGATGATGATGATGATGCTAATACTGACGACAACACGGAGGGGGGGATTCGTGGCAGAGGTTGGATGGATATGGATGTGTATGCTGCCGTGTACTGCATGCTGTACACGGTATCTCAGTTGAGGCTCGGGTGATGAGCAATTCTCGCCCGCATTAACGACGAGGCATGGATATTGTACCCCGGCCGGCCGGAGCTGCAATAGGCGGGATAAAAAGCAGCCCTCGGCTCATTTCCTCGCTTATTCCGGCTTCTCTCATCACCCATCCCATCATCCCAGGAGCTGTGCTGCTGCGGGACGGACTCGGGATTTTCAAGGGTTATTTGTCCTCATTTGCCGGCTCTTCTTTCTCCTCCTCCTCCTCCTCCTCCTCCTCCTCCTACTGCTGCTGCTGAGCGTACGTATATTGTATATAGGTGCTAAGCGTGATGAGCCTCAGCTGCTCTCTCAGCCTCTTTTTTTTTATTTATTTATCTTTATCCTCTCTCTTTTATACTTGCAAGCTGCTGCTGGTAATAAGGCATGAGATGGACGAGAGATCTCACGGGGAGGAAGAAACGCGAAAATTAGTCAAGAAGGTGATATGGTGGTGATGACGATGACGACGACGACGATGATGATGATGATGATGATGATGATGATGATCATCATCATCGTCGTCGTCGTCGTCGTCAGTTGACTACTTGTGCTGCTACTGCTGCTGCTATTGTTGCAAGAGCAGTCTTACCACGTTTCCGCTAATTATTACTATACGAGTATTATTATATTTTTGTTTGTGCTGGGCATCTTTCAATCACTGCCGATAGATCCCAGTCAGTCAGTCAGTCAGTCAGTCAGTCAGTGCGTGCGTGCCCTCTCACACACATCTCATCCCTCGATTTTATACAAATGATCATTTTCATCATCTCGTCTGATGCTCGCTCATTAGTGTCTCGTCTTCATTGCAGAGGCCTACATAATGATGAGTGCGGGCCGTAACGAGTAATACGGTGAGTAAAAGGGGGCTATACGAGAAGGGGATTCGTCGCGCTGGCTTTTGATCGGATTTTCCTTTGCGGATTTTTCCTCGCGTTTCAATTTTTTATTCTTATTTTCATTTTGCACAGCTAGGATGACACGAAGAAGGAATAGAATAAGAGAGAGAGAGAGAGAGGGGGGGGATGGACTCATTATCCTGCAAACATACACAGCAATAGTGTATGGTGATGATTATAGAGCTGCAAATACGAACAGTAGAGTATATTGTATATCTCGTTCTTTTCCTTAGAAAATGGAAATTAATGGTAATTTTTCAAACATAAATTGCACTCACAAATAACACGCGCGTATAGGTACAGCACACACCTTCTCATGTATACTCGCGTATGCAACAAGCAGCATCAGCTGGATTAGCGAAAACGCGCGGGTCTTGATGCGATGCACTTATTCTGATGCATATATATAGCTTCCATCATTCGACCAATAATTCGACCGTCGTCGTCGTCCTCTCCAGCGCATGCAGCGAAAGAACAACGACGATGACGACGAGACCCCACTTGTCCAGTATTATCCCATTACACCCCCCTTTAACTTGAAAACACTT